TGTCACAGCCCCTCGTTTGTTGTCCTCTTCTCCCTCTCTGCCTACGGTTTACCGGGCAGTTCTATTTGACGATATATATATCGTCACAAACAGAACTGCCCGGTAAACCGTAGGCAGAGAGAGAGAAGAGGACAACAAACGTGGGGCTGTGACAAACTGTTTCGTCGGAGTTTCACCGACTCATCAGGAGGCTATATTAATATTATATATAGATGGGGACGAAACCACTATACGGGAGCTGGGTGGAGACTGTGCTATGTGGGAACACAACCCAAGTATAGGTGGACCATAAAGAAGGCACGACCCTAGGTCCGAGAGAGGAGCATGGGAATAAGGAACTTTAAAGAAGGTGGCCCCGGGCGAAAATGTGAGCCAGGGCACGGAATGGAAGGGGAAGTAGGGTTTAGGGTTTGAGGGAGCAGGGGAGAACGGAAGGGGAAGTAGGGTTTAAGGTTTAAGGGAGCAGGGGAGAGGCAAACAGTTGATTTTCAATCATTGTACAGCCAGCTCCTTGGCTCTAGAAGAAGTTCAGTTCTTTCCGGGAATTGGATTAAAAAATAAAATAAAAAAAAAGAGGGGGGGGAAAGGGGTAGGGGGGAAGGGATCCCCTACCACTCTTGTACCCATCAGATTTCATTAGGATTCGAACTCCCGATCTGTTTACGGATAATTAAGTGTGTGTACCGTCATGCGTCAACGACCATCCTGTTCCTTCTTTTCCGAAGAACAAAAAAAAAGGGTTAGCCAAAACTACCGTCTTCCCCGGAATAGAACGCCCGGTCACTACAGCCGTATCTGGACTGAAAATTGCACCAAATACGGCTGTAATGACCGGGTGTTCTATTCGGGTGAACACGGTAGCTGCGCACATTTGTTCGGCATCCAATGCTATCCATCTCATTCTGCCAGAATTTGAGCTCATGACCTGTTTATCAATATGAATGAATCTCATTCACCACACATAAAACCCGCACCGGGCCGCTAAGAAGTGCACGTGAATGTTTTTGTTTAGATGCATGGCATTGCATGCACCATTCCTTTTTTTCTTTTTTTTTTCGTTTCTGTACCATTCATCCATATGAACAGCCTTTTCTTTTTTCAAATTTTGATGAACATCCTGCTCCTTACCTACCTCTTCCACTGCAGGAATTGGGACACATGTTGTAAAGACAGAACTTTTCTGCCACGGGGCATGGACCTAGCTCGCCTTGTAAATACTGTGATGCTCCGGTGATGTCGACAGATTCCCCATCAGCACACATAACCCACTGGCCTCTCCCTACCTGCCACAAATGACAGGGAAGGATGGAAGAATTGCATTGAATTCCATGTTGAAGGAAAAAAAGAGGCCTCTTCGCCCCTTCTTTAGTTGGAAAGTTGCAATGCAAACAATTTTTTTTGCTGAAGGTCACCTCGCAGTTCCTTATTGAATCGAACAACGCGAAAGAAGATTAAAAAATCCAACTATGGCACCCCCCTTTAAACCCCTTTCAACCCCTTAAAACCCCTTTAAGCCCCTTGAAGCCACTTTAAACCCCTTTCAACCCTTTAAGCCACTTTAAACCTCTTTAAATTTTAAACCCCCCTAACCCCCTTTAAAGTTTAAACCCCATTTATACCTCCCTTCCT